AATATTTTTGTGTTGAAAATTGGTATAAATTTTAGCTGCTTTTCCTTACACTTACAATATATTGTGCTCTTTCTTTGTGTGCGTGTCGTTAGCCGTACACCACATACACTATAATAGATCCCTTTCCTCCTTCTTAATGTTCGCGTTCCTCGTATGCACGGCTCGTATGGCTCACTCACGACGACTTACGACGTCGAGAGAGTCGTCCGGTGCCAACAGCCAGGTGTTGAGGGAACGTAGGACCTGTGCCTCTCACAGGTCTATTTTCCATGGCATACCTGTGCTCCAGAAATATTTCTACTACAGTATAATATGAGGACAAGTAGTATGGTGTGTGTGTGTGCTTCGGGGAGAGAGGGAGGGGATGAAGTATTTTTCATTCATAAAACTTTTTGTGAACCAAACGGAGTTCTGAACACAAAGTGAATTTCAATCCACTTCTGTGTTCACTTCATTCTCGTGTATACATTGAAACCCAAAACATTGGAAATCTGTTCCCCTTTTAGCTCTCGCTATGAATATAATAAAAATAGTTGACTTCGGCGATCGTATTGAGTGACAAAACTAGTTATTAGTGTTTTAGAGGTATATTATGACGATTTTTGAATCCAAGTGCCCATCACTTCACTCAGCCGTAACCCAGACCTCATTCATGAGTCTTATATCTATCGCAGTATTTATTATATGCACTCTTTTTAAGGGGATGAATGGTATTATAAAATAATTCATCACAAAAAATGTAGTTTAAATGTTTAATCAGGAAATTCATTGTACATTTGATTTATTATTATCATTATATGCAAAATAAGTAGTGATTTGTATTACCATTTTTTGATGTATTATTTTCCTTGTAATAGAAAATGTTTTTTAAAGAATCAAAACTAAATTTAGCGTAAAATTCATAGAAATTAATTGAATAGCATTTCAAGTGATTCCTTAGCACTGATTGGTTTTGATTGTAACGCAATGCCATTTCGTTTAATATAAATTGCTATTGATTTCCATACATAGGTATTAAATATATATAAGTTTGCATTAAATTCAGGAAATTAAACATTATTCGACTTAATTATAAATAGAAAAATTAGATTCAATTATATATTTTAGAAACCAATTACTTGTGTTGTGACATATACTGTAGACGTCTCTCTCTCTCTCTCTCTCTCTCTCTCTCTCTCTCCACTCAAGTCGTATAAGAAAAACTTGAATTCAATTTATTTTAAATTATTTTTATGCTTCTCGTCAAGCATTGAAACACTGATTGCTTTCAAACATTTGTTTGATAACACGAGAGAGAGAGAGAGACCGCTACAGTTGTATACAGATTGTTAAAAACTAGAAAAGCAAAGCATTATTTATATAAATTGTGGACTGGTATAGAATTTCATGTGTTTGTTGATTAATTAAGCCATTATTTTGAACGGGAACCATAAGAAAGACCAGGCGCTGGATGAACATTACTATACATATTAAGCCAAATACTTGTATCCAATGTTTCAAACACATTTGGGTCCACTCAATACAGTCAGCCCCTCGTTAATGACTGGCACTGGCGTTGTGTCAGACCGTCTGACAGTTTTTTATATTTATGCTAATTATAAATAAACTAAACTTTATTTTGAGTATTTTCGTTAAAAAGATGAATTTTATGTGTTGAAAAAAGGGATGAACTGTATGCTGACTAACAAACAATTTCAAAACAAAATAAACTTTCTGACTATCTATATAATCAACATGTCTTTGAAGTTTTTAGTTGAATACTTCAGGAAAAACTTTTACACACACTTCTAGCCACACATCAAATAACTTAAAAAAATACACACATTTCGTTAAAAATATTTTATTTTTCTGTTGAAAACTTGAAAACTCTTTGAATACAGAATAGAGTAATAAAACTCTCTCTCTCTCTCTCTCTCTCGACAGGAATTCCATAATAAGTTAACCGGAATTTTATTATACATTCAAAGTCTCGTTAAGTTTTTTCAAAGATGTTTTTCCCTATTCGTGTGATTATAACGTAATTCACAATTGAATGGATGGCGAGCGAGAAAATAAAGACCTTTTGAAAACAGTCTCTCTCTCTCTCTCTCTCTCTCTCTCTCTCTCTCTCAACTTTTTAAGTGTAATTTAAACGTCAAGAAAATAACTACAGCAGTAAATTAAGAGCCAAATTTGTGATGTATGTATAATTGTTAAAAGCAATTTTTCTACTTAAAATACACAACTTTTTTCCCTACTTGACATACGACTGATTGTTTGTTAAAGTTTTGTTTTATTTGAAAGACTGATAGATATATTAGTTGTACAGAAACTTCAAAAAGTTGAATACTTCAGGAAAAACTTTTTACACACACTTCTAGCCACACATCAAATAACTTAAAAAAACACACATTTCGTTAAAAATATTTTATTTTTCTGTTGAAAACTTGAAAACTCTTTGAATACAGAATAGAGTAATAAAACTCTCTCTCTCTCTCTCTCTCTCTCTCTCTCTCTCGACAGGAATTCCATAATAAGTTAACCGGAATTTTATTATACATTCAAAGTCTCGTTAAGTTCTTTCAAAGATGTTTTTCCCTATTCGTGTGATTATAACGTAATTCACAATTGAATGGATGGCGAGCGAGAAAAATAAAGACCTTTTGAAAACAGTCTCTCTCTCTCTCTCTCTCTCACACACACACACACACACACACACACACTCACTCACTCTCGCAAACTCCCTGAGCGATAATAGGGGAGTGCGTCAGCACATATTCTAAGAGCCAATTATTGGAAATTACTTTTTTTTGTGCTAAATATATCTATATATAAATATGGAACAGATTTTTTTGTTGGTGGGACCTAACAATAGAAAATTATAATCAATTATTTTTTGTGTGTGCACTCGAATCGCCTTTTTTAAAAAGCAAAATAGTCACTAAAATACTGGTGAAAAGCCTTTATTTTATGAGTTCCTTTCCATACGTTCCGTAGAGAGTATAATGAAAAGCAAAAGAGAGAATAAACTTTTTTCCAAGAGTTTGTTTGAGAGTCAAGAAAAAGTTTTTGTGTTTAGAGTTGTTAAACCACTCGAAAATGTTAAATGAGGTAAATCTGAATTCATTTCACACACAACACTCGCATAACGTATATATAAAAGTTAGCCCAAAATCAGGGAGTGATCTGGAATTTGGTACTAATCTATAGACTATAGCCGTTAGTGCGCTGGCAATGGACTGATGAACGCCAACATCACAACTGTTACCAGTTTTGGCTCTCTCTCTCTCTCTCTCTCTCTCTCTCTCTTTCCACTCTCAACTCAATTCCCAAATACCACTAATCAATAGCGAAAAGTCTTCAAATAACATATGAAAACATATCTGTCTTATAATTATAGGTTTCATTTCTCCCATCAATTCATTCATAGCAACAGTTAAAAAGTTTCTCAAAGTTTTTTCTTACTTCGTTTTATGTGTCTATTAATAATCAATATAAAAAAGAGTGGATTATTAAAGGAAAATATTATACACATTTAACATACAAACGCCTTTTGACTACAAATTAATGATTATTTCATTTAAGTTACTAATAGAGTAGTACTTATGTGCTCTCTCTCTCTCTCTCTCTCTCTCTCTCTCTCTCTCTTACTCTCTCTCTCTCTCATTATATTTTGTTGCAAAACAACATCACAAGACTTATCTACAAGTATTTAAATAATACTTTTTTGCACCGAAACCCAAACACAATACAAAAATTATAATATTTTATTTCTTAATTATTTATACTTCACTCGCTATACCGGACTTTCAAATTATTATTACGGGTAAAACAGTTGCGAAAAAACTATGTGAACATGACTTTCACTTTTTGGTCACCCATTACCGGTTAGCCCTACAAAAAAGTCACTAATATTTTCGGTGAGACTTGTGTTGACCACTTATTATGGACTCATTTTTCACACATAAAATTATATACCATTTTAGGGCTCATTATTACTATTATTAGTCTGTATTATGTCTTTATCTCTCGAGCGCTGGGATCTATACGTCTGGGCTGTCTATCGAGATGGAGAGACACAGAGGTTAAGTTACTGTTTTAACTAAAAAATGTGGTTTTTATTAATGACATAAATAACCGCCTCAAATTCCGAAATTTGTTGTTTTAGTTTTCAATAATAATTTACTCTTTTATATTTCTCGAAAAACCATAGAAAAGCCTATTATAATGGGAGGGGAATGGTATGTCATGTGCTGGCGAAGTGGTACTCGTATTATAGCTTAATGGCATTGTTTTGCATATGAGAAATGCAGTTATTAAATAACATGTAATCAGATTTGCATTAACGAAAGTAACCCGGATTACACACTAATCATACGGTAGTGCCGTAATGGCTATCATATAGGATGTGAATGACTATTAACACCCAACGTATGGCCAAAATGTGTAAAAAAGTTAAATTTAAATTAACTACCATTAAAAATATTTATTTGTGTGTGATCTGTATGTGCACTAGTCCCGATAAATATTGAAAATTTTTTCAACAACGATATTTTAGCAAAAGTTTGCTTTTTAAATATGTTTAATTTATTTGATCAATAGTTTTGAACTATATAACTATTATGCAACTAAACATACCCAGTAAAATATTTTAGAATTTTGTACTACCTATATATATTTTAGCTAATATGAACAGGGTCATTGGCAATCTATTAATTCATAACTTAATAAAATAACAACAAAAATTTGATCTAACACAATCTAATTATAAAAATTTTCAGTTAAATCAATGTTGACACTAATTTATTAAACATATATACAAAATCTACATACATTTATGCACCAAGTTCATTTCTCACTAACTTTCACAATATTCATTCACCCATAGACTTACCATTATTCCAGTCATACAAATACACTGTACGCACAGACAACTAGCGAAACACGCTTAGCAGTGCATTAAATACTCGCTGAGCAGTACACAACACAATAAACCTGGTTTTATAACTGCTTTTGACAAACATTACAGTTATGTAAAGCACACTTATTGTGTAGTAAACATACCTTTAGCGCTTTCAATTGGCATTTGAATTGAGTTTTCATTGAAATAAACGTCTGTTTAATGGAAAGTGATATCAAATAAAGTGATCGACAAGAAGACAATTACAAGAAGTTTGGGGTCAACTCACCAGCGGATCCCATATTGCGAGTGGAGGGTCCTGTCATCGCCCACTCCTACTGACGACATCACCGCCAACTGTCACCACCAGTAGATCCCATACACCGTAGCCATGGCTCACAGATCACACACCGAGACCTTCGTACTCATGAGGAATAACGCCACCAAAAAGAGATACTTTTACAAAGAGGTATACCATTGACCCCAATGTCACCGCATATGTCACAACCTGTGTCTTCGGGACACGTGTCGGTGACACACATGCGATGACATTCTATGTCTGCAACTCGTGTCTCATACCATGTCTTATGTCTTGGGATCAGTTCGAGACGGACGACGAGAGAGCAAACCTCGTGAACGGCAAGTCTGACGCCAACGACATCGAGTTGACCCATACGGGCGACGACCCCTCCATGGACTCAGCGGTTCCCGAGTGGGTCTCCAATGTCGACGAGTTTCGCTACGAATGCCTTAAAATCAATACTAAGCGTATGTACTCTCCCCTTCCCCTAACAGCCTGTCCCCTAACCTCTCTGTCTGTCCATCCGGTTGCCTCATTAGTGGATCAGCTGAACGCCATTCAGAGGGAGCACCTGAAGAGTAAGAGCGCCTCCATATTCAGCGAAGACAGCGAGTCGGCCGCCAATCAGAGCTATGAAATCGAGATTGAGTTCAAGTGTCAAGAGATCAACAAACTGTTCAATCGATTGCATTCACTCCTGAGTGCTATGCAAGTGATGTCGCGCCTACAGCCCGACTCACGGCTCGTGCGGAATGTGTTTCAGTTTCAGTGCAAAGAGATCCAGGATTTGACGCATAAGTACCGGTTCTGTCAAAACAATTATATCATTAAATGCACGGAAAACGACAAAATCGACGAACAGTTTGTCATCACTTTCGACGCCATTCCCACGGATAAGGGCCCCACGAATAGCGGCGGCGGCGGTGGGTATGGCCTACAAAACGGTGCCGACGACTACCTGTTCTTCGAGGACATGAGCCGCTACTCGGGTGCACAACAGCAGCAGATGATGATGTCGGCGCTCATGCAGGACTCGGAGCACCTGAGGGCCAGGGATCAGGAGATGACGGCAATCGTGAAGTCCATCTGCGAGTTGAACCAAATATTCCAAGACATCAACACATTGGTGGTCACTCAGGGCTCGGTGTTGGACCGCATCGACTACAACGTGGAGACGGTTGAGCACCGGGTGGCCGACGGGGTGCTGGCGCTCAGTAAGGCCGAGAAAAGTATGCGAAGTGCACGCAAACTGAAGTTGATATTGATTTTGAGCGGTTTTGTGATACTTTTGTTCATGTATTTAGTGTTGTTTAAGACTTAATGTAGTGATAGATCTCTAGGTTTAGCTATAGTTTTATTTTTTTTGAAAACGCTTTTTATTTTTTCATAAAACTAAATATTTTTTATTTAAATGCCATTTGTTTTCCACACATGAAAAGCACGCATAACTTATTGAAAACCAATTGTCAGAGACTTTTTCACTGATACAAAAAAAACTAAACGCTAACACAAAAGTAAAATAAATGGATTTAATTTATTTATTATTAATATGTTGTGTACTGAATGTGATGTAAATATATTGTAATTATATTCATAAAACGAAAATCTCTTTCAACAGTGCAAACAAGCAAAAGAGAAATCAATTTTAAATTATTATACGATATAAGAGACGTCTAATTATATGTAAAAATAAAAATAAACTTTTTTTGCCGAAACTGTCGGCTACTAAAGAGATATTTTTCGCATAATTTGAATGTAAAGTCAGTGGAGGTTTTGGTGGCATTTGTTCTCCGCATTTCTCTCTCTCTCTCTCTCTCTCTCTCTCTCTCCGCACTCCAACTCCAAGAGAGCACTAAAAATATATTTATTTTTCATTTGCAATAAATTATGTGTTTTCCCATCGATGTTATGATTAGTTCTCTCTTCAGCTGCACTGTCAGCCTCTCTATGGCCCTCATCATCACCGGTGGTGGCAGTGGTGGTGCTGTACACACACACAGCTATAACCATTCCTACCGGTGCTTAAAACACGTAAATGCAGTTGAAAGCACACACTGCGGTAGGTATGAATGTGCTCTCTCTCTCTCTCTCTCCTTCTCTCTATCAATCTCTCCCTCCCTCTCCTAACCTGCCTGTGCTGTGTGTGGTGTATATGTGTGTGTTTGGAGTGATATTCAATTCTATCAATTCTTGTGTCTGTTATAAGACTTATTACCGGTTTTTGGTTTTAAACACGAGAGAGAGAGAGAGAGAGAGAGAGAGAGAATAGCAGCGAACACAACACAACATAACATACTTTACATGTTTGTGAAGACCATTCATAAGACAGGACTTCTCGATACACACAATACCTGAACGATAATCACCGGCCCATCGACAGCACACACCATACTGTCTGTGAGAGTGGAGTAGATTTTTTCAGAGCTCAGGGGTTCTTCACCACATCGAGAGGGGCCGACCCTCTCATGTAATCATAATCTCAGGCGCTGAACAAAAACTGAAGTTTTTTTTATTTTGTTTTCATACATAAGTCTTTGAAAGATTAGATTCTTATGTATCCAATAATGAGAGCAAATCCTCGATGAAATCCAATTCGCTTTTTATTGCTATTTATGTTTGCGATGCCTTTTACTGCCTGTGATTTACATTGCGTTTAGGTTTTTATGTAAAATTCTCAAAGTTTTACTGAAGTTTTTATGAAGTGTTTGCACAATAACTGTACACAAGATTTTGCCCCCAAATGTAAGCAAACACGTGAACCCATGCCGCGGGCCCCGGGTTTCCTGAGCCTAAATTATAGTTTGCTCGCACCGGTAGGACACCGGGGGTTGCCGTTTGACAGACTAATAGACATATCAAAACACCCCCTAATGCCCCGCACTGTGAGAGAGAAAAACATAGAGAGCCCGAGAGAGAGAGAGAGAGAGAGAGAGAGAGAGAGAGCTTAGGGATCAAAAATCCCATTGAATGTCTATTAAATATTTTGTGTCCAAATATTTCCCAAACAATTAATGAAATATTTTGGTTATGAATGAATTTAGGGATTACAGGCAAACATATAACTAATTGTCTATAAGTTTGGAGTTAGTTATGATTAACTCATTAACATAGTTGTTGAGAGAGAATGAGAGAGAGTATGGAAGGGTGTGTGGGGTGGGGGTCGACCACAATTTGAATTCTCTCTCTCTCTCTCTCTCTCTCTCATGGCTTTTGTTTATTATGATGGGCTCTTGCGTTGAGTTTATTATTATTCTGTTGGGAAGGCTTGACATCCCTGACCACACGCGTCGGTCCACAGACCTCTCAACGAGTCTTTTTGAGTTGATTTAAGAAAAATGTTTGCCTTTTTTGCGGGGATTCATATTTCATGCGATTATTGCCTGTTTTGTTGTAAAAGCGAAATTAAACCTCAACTCCGAAAATATTTTTATTTCCAAATTCTTGTGTTCAGTAAATGTTTGCAAAAATATTTCATTCAAACTCCTTAATGATAACCCATTTCTCGAGTGTATGTTTGCATTGCTATTAACGCCTAATACTATTTAGTACCAGATTTTTTTCAGTAGCCTTTATGCCATATATTATATTCATATGTAGTGTCTGTGTGTGTCTTATCTCATAATTTTTAATTATTTTTATTACGTTTATTATTATTATTACCAACACTTTGGGCACTGACTATACATATATTATAAATAGCGAAAGGGATTAAAGCCATTGAAAACGGCAAACATTTTTATGATCCTAACTCTCATATGGTTTACTAATATTTAGTATTATTACCGCAGACTTTGTATTATGACTACAATTATTATTATTATGAAATATAAATACTCGTCTCAATGCCCACTTGAAAAGGTGCTAAAACTATGTTAAGTATATTACAAATATTTTTTAGCGATTAAATAAATTTTAGACTTATGAACAAAATAGTTTTTACAATCTTCAAGGCCAATCATTTTTATCCACACATTTTTCATATTATATTATCATTCATCCCATAATATCTCTCATAATATAATGTTAGTATTTTTTATCGGTCTCTCTCTCTCTCTCTCTCTCTCTCTCTCTCTCTCTTACTTTCGCTGGAAATTCCAATCATTAACTCATAATTTCTTTTACTCTCTTTTGAGAGGAATTTTTACTCTTCTTTTTTATTGTTTGCAATCTTTTTCTCTCACTTAATATTATTTCTATTGAATTCCTTTCTTATGTCATAAGTACTCTGAACTGAATCTCTCTCTCTCTCTCTCTCTCTCTCTCTCTCTCTCTCTTTCATTGCCTGTTTCTGTTGTTAAGAATACTTATTATGATTATTATTACAGACAAAAAAGCATTTTCTACACTCATATGTACGCCATATATATCTATGTATGAAATCTCGCTTTTTTTGTTCAGGAATTTATAGGTTAAGAAAGTTTGTGTTGTGTTGTGTCACAGAACTTATCGTTACATTCGGTTCATTGATCTTTAAATTTAACTTTTTTTATATACGAATAAATATAAAACAGATATTTTTTGAATGTATAATAATATATGTGTTGTTATAATGGATAGGGACTTCACATTCTCTTAGATAACATACTCTCCCTTTTCATATCTCTATCCGTAATCCACTTTCACTAAACAGGTGTTGATTATCTAAATTTAGGGCTTTCTCTCTCATACTCACTCCAAACACAACCCAATTGTCTTAACTTTATTTTTACCCACTTTTTGATTATAATATTAATAATATTATGCTTATAATTAATGACATTATACACGGCCCCAAATGCACTCATTTAATAATTTATATTCTCTCCCATTCTCTCTCTCTCTCTCTCTCTCTCAGTATTTGAAGAAAAAAATTATAGTTTTATTTATAATTATATTTTTGATCACAAATTATTTTTATGGATATATTTCTCGCGTTTCGCATAATTTTTTGCTGCAAAACAAGTAAATAGTGCCCAAAATGTGAGACTCCGATCGTCTATTAACCTATTTTTTCTATACACACAATAAATATAAATCTTATAAAAGTCTTATAAATGTTAACTTTAAAAAACCAAACAGCGATGAGTTCCTCATATGCGTTAAGAGTTGCAAAAAGTGTTTGAAAACTTTTTTCAAGACATTAAATCTGTTTTTAAATATACTCTGGAAGTAAAAAATATATATAAATTTTATATAGTGTATTATTTTTATATGTTTTGCTAATAAATTAAAATGTAAGCAAAATGTTTTCAACGCAAAACTCAGCATTAATTTTGAATTCTTAGTCGTATTATAAAATGTTATCTAAACTATCGGCTGAGTGTCATAACCAGTGTGTGTATCGTTTTTAAGCTTATCTATCGATTGGAATTAATTATAATTTTTAATTAATCATAAAAAGAGAGTTTTTATATTTTGCGAAATAAAAAACACTAAACATTTAGTTTTTCGCGAGATTTTAACTTTTTTTGTTAACAAACTTAATACACGTTTTGTTGAAAAGTGAGAGAAATGTGCGTAAATTTAATTGAAAATCATTTTTGTCCTGATTTTCAATTCGTAACAGAATTTTCATATTATGTTTTCAAAGCAAGAGTTTATCAGTTAAACAACTTTTTCTACTGTTTTCTGTGTTAAGCCAAATGTCTTGTATTTGATATAATTTATAAGATTAATATATTTTTTGTCTCAAAATAATTTATATATCTTTTATTTAACACTAATTTATTTCGATAGAGAGAGAGAGAGAGAGAGAGAGAGAGAGAGAAGTGGGAAAGACTTAATCATCGCTAGTCTTATGTGTCTAAACATGTTATTCATTCCTTAATTATAAGCCATCAGTCGGTCCCCTATTTATCATTAGTGGAGATCTAAATTCCTTCCGTCCGGTGGACAGGTATGAGCCCAACAAACTCATCGTCCACTTCCGACTCAGAGCTCCCTCCCTCTCTCAGCCCCTCTCTTACACTGTGTGTTTGCGGCGAAATTCTTGACTTCGACTCTCTCTCTCTCTCTCTCTCTCTCTCTCTCTCTCTATGCCATACATTTGCAAACAAACATAGATTTAGACATTGGGTTCACAATTGGCTTTGAGCTGTCATTGCGTATTGGCATCTGAAGGTTGGACTCAACCTATTGGCGCAACTTTTTGTGTGTGTATGTGCTCGGGGTATAGGGCTATAAGTGCTAATAAATATACTACTCATGCATTTTGCAGCAAAAATCCAATAAAAAAGCCTTTTTAGCTAATATTATGCAATAATATAGATATAATGCGTTTGAACTGAATATTAATATGATTTTCAACAGTACTGCTGCTCTTTCTCAGCCCATTTGTGTGCTGTGTTTGCCTCCCATCTCCCGACCCCCTCCAAAACAGTCGGTCCCCTCACACCTGGAGTACACTTCGAGTGAATATATAAAATGTCTTTTTTCTACTTAAAGAGGAATATCTTGTGTTGAAAAAACTGAGCTTTTATTTCATTTCGCTATTTTGTTATCGCCTTTAATCTCAACACAAATGGTTTATTACAGATATTGACAGCAAAGCTGTGCTCAGAGCTCTCTCTCTCTCTCTCTCTCTCTCTCTCTCCAGTACTGCTGATAAGTAATTGAAATTCAATTCACAACAAAAAACAGTGTAATTCTTAGAGAATATTCTCTAAATAATAACAGTAATCATAAGTAGATTTGGGAGATAATTATAAGCATAATATATACTGGTATTTACGAAAATAGTATAGATTTTTATGATACTTATTATTGGAGAGAGAGGTAGAGGGAGGGAGAGAATGGGAGAGAGAGAAAGAGATCTGTGAATGCGATCAGTGTTTGTGGTGAGGATGAAGACCAAAAACTTTGAGGAATTTTGTGAAAAACTATGAGATAATCGTTTAACAGATCAATGTTCAGTTCTTAACCACTAGAGAAACTCGCGTTTTGGTTTATTTAGAGTAAAGTTACTGTCGAATATAAAGCCCGGTTTCTTACAGTTACTCTATATGTGTGTTTCTGCTCTCTCTCTCTCTCTCTCTCTCTCTGCGAGAGAGCGAAAGAAACAATAATATCTTATTTTAGTGGTATGACAGCCTACACCACAAGGGGACGCGTGGCTGTGCAGCCCCCCAGAGAGCATTAGACGCCATATTAATTTTTGATTTAATGAAACTTTACATTTGGTTATTTTGCGTTACTTAATGATAAACAATATACACTGTATGTCATATTAAGTCAGTGTATGTTTTTTAAGTGTCAAAATACACTATCTATCATAACATACACTGTCAAGTATTGGGACCTATTCATACATTTTATACGCTTATACACCAAGTGTGACCATGGTGCATTTGGGAAATATATTCCTAATCCAATATACAGTGTACACACAATATGCATGGCTTTTATTGTATTGAAAAACTCTTGACAACAAATGTATTCACATAACAGAGAATTAATAAACTTATTTAAATACATGGCTTTAAGTGAACACAAAAATTTGAGGTCAATTGTGAACAAGTTATTCGTATAGTAAGTACAGTACGTATACCGTATGTGTGTATATATCTGTGCATTCAGTGGTGGGAGAGGGAGCAGAATGAGAGGGATAGGGAGCACAGGGAGTAGAGTACAGTAAATGTATTGTGAATAATAGTGAAGTGAATACCTGTGAATATACGGCACACACACACACTCGAGAAATACATTGAATACAACATTACAGTGTAGTATACACTCAATACGGGAGAAGTTGTGTTAGGCTGTCCACTAAGTACTGGTTCACAAAATTCTAAACAAAACTAGAATAACATTCAGGATTTTAAAACCATTCAAAATATATTAATTATTTATTTCATAAATATTTTAAATGTGATAGCTGTTAGTTGAAAATTTAATGCAAATAGTTATTTTGTATATTTAAATTGATATTAAATTTATTTTTAAATTAAATATTATATTAAATTATAAATTAACAAATATTCTGTAATCACCGAGAGTTGTTGTATATTACAACAAGTATCGTGGTAATATTTTATTAAACCTGAATTTATTGTTATCATAATTTATCACAAAATAATTCTTACAAGAAAGGTTTTGCTAGAAAGGTCTGAAATTCAGACCCTGAATATCATAAGCTTATTGAAATAGCTATCCTAATAATTTAAAAATTTTTACCTATTTAAGCATTTTGATTACAAATACAGATAAGATTCCTATTAATATTGATAATATACTAGAAATATTACTTGTTCACTGAATATTCTTGCAAATATCGCAATATTCCTACATATCATTGAGTGCTAGCTTATATTGAGCATCCTAATACATATGCCTGTAACAGGTATATACGCTTAACTCATAAATAAATACTCCATTAGAATTGGTTGATTAGGTAGTGCTGGCCCTGTGCTGATCCCCAACACAAAAACGTGTCCCAACAGGTGTGGAGAGAGAGAGAGAGAGAGCACATACACACACATACTGGTGCTGCCGATGATGCCCAGTGCCTGCCTGAGTGCCAGTGTATGTTAGTTGGAATAGTGGTTCACGAGATGCCGGAGCGTCTGGTAGTTTCAGTACTGAATAAGTTTACAAACACTGAACACAACTCCACAGCACTTCTCGACACAAAACTTGAAGTCGATTGTGAAGTGCGAGCGATAGTAGAGTCGACTGAATAGTGAATAGAGTTATAGTTATAGTGAATACGAGAGAGAAGTCGTGAAATCCCTATGCATTCTGTGCTTAGAGCGCACACAACAACCTACCAGTGCTGGCGAAGTATGTGGTGAAGTATGCATACCAGAGTGCTATTACTTCGGCTACTGGTGCTCGTCAGCGGTATGCGATTGTGGCCGACGGTCGCCGCGGCCGACAGTGTGGGCGCCGGTGGCGGCGGACGCACCGGTAGTACGTCGGACCCGCGGACAGCCGCCGGTCGACCGGTGCTGAGCACCAAAGCGAACGGCGCGCTCCTGAAGGCGATCGAGTCGCGGCTGTTCCGCTCGTTTGGGTTGACACAGCGACCCCGGCCTACCCTCGCGCACCGGCTACTGGTGCCCCAGTATATGCTCGACCTGTACCGCGACCAACATCTCGCCAACAGTCACACAGACAGTGACGATGACTATACAGACACAGACACTCACCACCATCGCAGCCATCAACAACAACAGCCACATCACAGCTCCCATTCCCCTCCACAGCCATCACATCCCACTCATCCGCAGCCCCCCTCCCATCCCCAGCGCCGGCACAGTGACAGTGACCGCCAGACACCTGGTGGTGGCCAAGGATCCGGTGCACCACATCCGCAGCGAAGCCATACTAATAAGAGATTTAGTTTAAGTGGTTTCGCAAATACTATTATAAGTCATAAACAGCATTATGAAGGTATGCGCCCAACCACTCCACACACACACACTCTCTCTATACCTACCTGTCCTGTCCTCCTGTGTAAGAGCTAACTATCCCAACGAAACCCAATATATACGACGACTAACTATAACACACATACAATCTCTAAATACATTAGCGATTAGTTTAACTGATAGACACCACCAATACATGCATTTGTGGCAAAAATATGTGAATAATTTTTGCGAGACTTTATTTTTGCTGCAAAAATGTCTAATTTGTTTGCGATCTTTCTCTATACCTCTCCCTCACTCTCAGGTGTCATTCAGTATTGTGTTAACTGTTAAGCCATATATTAGTGATATTTGTTGTGTCCGTATTTGTATTGATTAGGAAAATTAAATTATAAGCAAAAACAAGTCCAGAGAGAGAGAGAGAGAGACTCGCAAAATGAAGAGATACTGAAAAACAGGAGAAAATCTCTGAACATTTAAGAAACGAAAGAAAAAATAAAAAACTTAAAATTCAAATCAAGTAATCAAATAACGAATAACTTTATACTAAACACACACTCACTCTATGGTGTTGTGTATAGTGTAGTACTGTATAGAGTCTCGCGTCACCAGAATATTTAAAATTCAAGTAAAATAACTTTTTTTCACTTTAAAAATATATATAAAAATAAAAATATTTCTCTCGAATAAGAGAGAAGTATTTTTGCTGTTTTTATCTAAATATTTATTTAAAAAGATATTTTGTACGATCTCTCTCTCTCTCTCTCTCTCTCTCTCTCTCTCTCTCCGCAATCAGAAACACATTTCTTAATCGTAAACTCGCTTATGGTTTATAAGAACTTTTTTATATTTCATTTATTGTCTTCATTACACACTTTTATATTACCAAAAAATACCTTATTTTGGCTGTAATTATATTTGATACCATTAAAAGTCAGACCAGAAAATCCGAGAAATTTGTGAGCAATTATTTGAGGTCGTCATCAAAATAGAGAGAGAGAGAGAGAGAGAGAGAGAGAGAGCAGTGATTAAAGCTGTCCTCTTCTCTAAATAACGAGAAAATTATATATTTTTCGTATTTAAGTATATTTTAAGCAAAAAACTTTTTGAGCTGTTTTTTGCGAGCAGATCCTTAATCTCTGAATACATTTAAAGTGTACCTTTTTTTATTTGATATACACTGTGTGTACACCAGTACACTATACACTGGGACACAGCATTTAATAAGATTTATGTATATTATATTAGATTTATATATAGTATTATTATTATTAATTCCACTCATCTCTCAAAACACATACACAACAACTTAGCCTTCAATTCCTTAACATATAATGAATTCCTTATATAACTTATAAACTTATGTTTTTGATTGGCGTTAAATCCAATGTTAAACCATTTATAGCTTTTTTCATGAAATATAAAGAATTTTTCGCAACAAATTGGTTGTAGTAAAGAGTTAACGCGATATAAAAAAACTTCAAATTCATTGCAAAAACAAACAAAACTCAGCAAACTAATATTTTATATATTGCATATGTGAATTAAATATATACTGTATATACAGTTAGACTTTAAATATCGTATTTAAACTCATTTAATTACAAACTTATAATTATACACAAGTTTTAAATGAATACACAACTCAGACAGCGACTGAAATCATAATCTTAAATAACAGTACATATGATACACAACTCAACCACAAAATCTATTAATGCTATTTCAGTTCCCAAACCTATTAAACATTCACAAAAATAATTAATTCATAAACTAATGAAAAAACTTTTAAATTATTTCTTTGCATATTTGTCTCCGACCTCCAAATCGCACCCAACGCTGGATCTAAACCAACTAACATCGCCCCTACCTGTGCTACCTCTGTGTCTATATGTGAATATGTGTTGTGGTGTCTGAAAATGTGCGGATCAGATGCCGGTGATGTTGAATACGACAATGCAAATAGTGTACGATTACTGTTCAATATAAGCATAAGTAGTGATGAAGTACTGAAAGGCGCTGAACTGCGTCTCTATAGACAGTCAATACTAAATGCACTGAAATCTCAATCAAAAACTCATACAATTAGTAAAAGTTCCTCAAAAAACGCGTCCCGACAGCAGCCCAGGCCACTGGACAGGCCGGTCAGCAATAGTAACAGTGCTTCTGGTGATCAGCGCCGGCAGCCCCAGAAAAAGCCATCGGATGACTGGCAACGATGGTTCATAAGAGTGGATATAAACGACATACTGGAGCTGCCGCGGGACAGGTCCGCGGAGTTCATACTCAGGCCTATAGACACTCATGTGGTGGACGTGAGGGTCACTGAGTGGACCAGTTTCGACGTCTACCCAGCGGTGCAACGCTGGCAACGAGATCCCGGCGCTAACCACGGATTATATGTGACAATCAGTATGTTTAATGGCACTCAGCCTACGCCCGACACCCATAGAGCACACGTGCTCTTAAAGCCAACGTTCCTCACCAGCAAACATGAGAATAGTAACCACATTAACACTAATCCCAAATCCCAGTCCGCGAGCACACGATCAGCACCTGTAGCTCCACTGTCATCACCTGTCGCTGGTCTAGTGTTAGCTACTAATGACAAATCGTCGCCTAATTCCTGGCGAAACAGTGCTAACTGTGCCCACACTCACCACAACACTCACCGCACATCTGCAGCTGCAGAGACTGTGGCGGTGATCGAGGGGGCGGTGAGGGGGGAGGCGGGGGATGAGGCTGTGCCCCAACACCAGTGCAAACATAAGACAATAGACAACAAATCTGATCAACAATTCGGTGACAATGGGGTCGACACTACTGTCGACCAGCGCCTCAATGACATTGAGGACGACTACTGGGCCCACATTCAGCCCTTACTGTTGACGTACACGTCGGACCCCATAAGCGAACAGACAGCCAACGCGCGGGCCAAACGTCAGGCCCACTCGGGAGGCGCTGGTCGGCGCCGACACCGGGGGAAGGGTCGCAAAGACAACTGTCGCCGGCACTCGCTGTACGTGGACTTCTCGGACGTCGGTTGGAACGACTGGATAGTGGCCCCTCCCGGCTACCAGGCCTACTACTGCTCGGGCGAGTGTCCCTTTCCCCTGTCGGATCACCTGAACTCGACAAACCACGCCATAGTGCAGACACTCGTGAATTCGGTGAACCCGTCGGCCGTGCCTAAGGCCTGTTGCATACCAACCGAGTTGTCACCCATTTCTATGCTCTATGTGGACGAGTACGACAAAGTGGTGCTCAAAAACTATCAGGATATGGTGGTGGAGGGCTGTGGCTGTCGCTAAATACCTGTGCGCGCATACCGACCCCTATTAGTAGCCTCCCGTCTCATCCCATCCCCCACACCACCACTCCATACATATATACACCGCTCTCTCCCCGCATACCATATATAATAGCCATTCGTGTTATCGATGGTTACCATCAGCTCTCAGAGTGTGTAATGTGTTTGTGTGGTGTGTGTGCCATCCCTACCGCCGAGTGTACCACCGGTACCGACACTCACACATACAGTACATACAGCGCTCATTTGCCAGCAGCCAACACACCGCATACCTTACCTCCACAACCATACCATACCAGTCCACTACAGCCACAAACTGTTCCACTAATGTTTGGCTCCTATAATGCAATGTCGTGTTAGGCCTGTATATACCTGTGCGCGGATAGTGTGTATGTGTGCGCTAAGTATTGATGATGTAGTTTATATATACTGTATAATACCATCCCTGAGACACTACACACACAAGAGGTATATACCTGTGTGCGAGAGTGTATACCTGTGCCCATAGTATTACCTGTGCGAGAGTAGTATCGCGGCACTCTGGCTGTCATGAATTTGCCACAGCGTTAGAGTATAAGGTCTCTCTCTCTCTCTCTCTCGCTATCTGTTCTCTCTCGCCGAGAGAGAGAGAGAGAGAGAGAGAAAATTGATAGTTAAGGGAAATTAGTGGCTGCCTCTGGAATGTTTGTTTTATGAGCGCTTGCTTTTCGGCATCCGCTTTCTCTCCCGGCTCTCTCTCCACTCACTCTATCGCCTGATAGTGTGTGTGTATGAGTGTATGTCCTACCAGTGCTCTCTCTCCGGCAAATGTAAGTTAAATTACTGGTGAAATAACTGAAAAGAAAAAATACTTCAAAGCTTTTCACGAAAAGTAGAAAGAAATGAGTACTCAATTGAATGCCTCTATTATTAAGGCATTCCATTCACTAAAAACGCAAACATTTATTGAGGATTTTTACTGCACATCACATATACCTGTGCTCTCACTCTGAACTCTCTCTCTCCCCGAGAGAGTTGAGGAGAGAGAGAGAGAGAGACGGCGAGAGAGAGAGCACGAAAACACTAGAAGCGAGAGAGATATCGAGTACCGGATAGGGAGAGAGAGAGAGAGAGAGAGAGAGACTGAGAGAATTTTTACCGAAAAAAGCAGATTTTATATATATTTTGGCTAAAAAACACTCGAATATATCGTAAGAGAGATATAAAAAAATAGTGAAGTCTTAAGTGAGAGAGAGAATTATGTATTCATTACAACCAACACTTGTTTTTTACTTAAAATAAATCTCCTTTTTATATATACTGTTTTCCCACAAACTCTAAGACTAATATTAATTATATAAATATATTGAACATATTTTTTGATCGCAAAACATAACTATTAATGATTTTTAATGATTTTATAAATTTATGAAAATAACAAACAAACGACACAAACAAATGAATGTATTTTTTATAATAAATTTTAATAATAATAATAATTAATATACTCTTTTATGGTCCCAACAAATCGACACAAAAATAAATAAAAAGAGAAAAAAATAATGAATAAATTTATCAATTTTTACATAAAAAACTCCTAAAAATTTATTATTCATTCAAAAACAACTCCCAATCAAATGGACAGTTATCTCAATGAATCTCTTCGCCTAACTTCGAGAGTTGGCTCAGGAATTGGTTGGCATTCATTAAATCAGTGGTTCCGTAGATTATATGCTTTGGCGATGACTTTGATTTGTTCTGTAATTATCGCCACAAAAATCAATACAATTACAAAACATGTGTCGAAAAAAAATTTAATCAACAAAAAGTTCACATACTTTACAGTAATCGATGAGATTCTGGTATTCAATATAATTCCCTCCGCCGACCATAAATACGATAGCCTTTCCATACCAAGCGATTCGTCAAACAATTGATAAACAAATAAAAAATTATTATTAGTTTTGAGTTTTATTTCTATTTTTCTTGTCATTAAATACTCATTCAAATGAATTTCGAGAGACTATTAATATTTCGAGAGAGAGAGAGAGAGAGAGAGACTTACAAAGAATATTAAGTGTAGTCAAGAATATCAGCGGACTTTTCAATACACATAAAAAGTCGTTAAAAATTAGTATAAGATTTCATTAGCGAATACTAAGCGCTAAATAAAAAGCATTAAATTTATGAATAAAACTCGAACTCAAGGAGAGAACCAAATATTGAATTTCATCTCAAAAAACACATTCATTTCAATCGCTTCTTAACACTCAAATCAATCATTAATTTTCAGGTTTTGAGAGAAAAACACTTTTTTCACTCTATCTGTCGCTTCAAGTCTCTCTCCATTCCTAACAAAATAATTATTCAAATTATTCGCACAAAATATTTTAAATAAATTATACATATATTCATATATAATGTGTTTATCAGAGATAACAAAATGTCACTTTTAATGCCGAAAACACGTCAATAAGTGATTATAAATAAACTTTTAATTAATTATTAATTCACTAAAACGTACTAAAAATTCATATTTTCAGTGAAAAACTCAAATATTTGTGAATAAAAAACGGCATTTCTATCACAACACAAATCCTAATATAAATTATTTAAAATAACACTAATTATAATAAAACAAATAAATATATTTTCCTGAAAAGACATTTAAATTTCTGCACATAACTCATAAAAATAGCAAATAATACTGAAAAGTCATAAAAATATTTGCAAAACACACAACACATTAAAACACATAAAAATATCATATATTTTCGACTCTCAATTGAAACTCAATACTCGTTTGGGAAACACTAATCGCATTCGTAATCCAATGCCAAACGTAATGCGAAAACACACGCAACGACAACACGACTTTCCCACTCACCTCTTGGAAGGGGGTCCGGTGTCTGGCTGACTGGCTGTCCGCTTTCAACAGTTTCGGATCGAAATACCGGTACTCATCGGCCTCGGGCACCGACTTCATCTCCATCAGCGCGTCCACTATCCTCGTGATGGGAAGGGTATGCCTTTTGAGCACCAGGTTCTTAACGCCCTCCATCACGAACTGCGAGCCCTGCGACATGAGCTTCGAGAACATACTGACCGTTTTGGTGCCGCCGCCCGTATGGAACACATACTGGCTGTCGGACAGGCTGTTCGAGAGTTTACTAAACTTTTTCCACCGCTTTATGTACTCATAGGGCCGGAGATCACAGTTTTGAACGGACAGTTCGTTCGTGATTTGGCTCACGTCCGACTCGCTCATAGCCGACGCCGAGGCGCACAAGTATTGTATCAAAAACAGCCGCAACTTATCCGCCTTAAGCCCGGCGTTGGGATCGATCATCAGTTCCAGCGGCGACTTATCCAACACTGCTTTCGACATTATCTTCTCCTCGATCTCGAAATAGATGTCGAGTTTGCGAGACTTTATGTGGTCTAAGATGGATGTGGCGATCGTTGTGTGCAAATCGATCAGACGCTTCTTCTCGAGCAGCTCCGGGAGGGAACTCACGGCTGACGTCAGTCTCGCCGTATTGTCCGACAACAGAGAGATGGCCTCATCGGCGACATTGCCGTCGAGACCCATCTCCGTCTTCAGCCGTTTCACCTCATCCTCGGAACTCCTATAAGCCTCCAGTTCCTCCTGAACCGCTTCGGCCACCTGTGGAAAGGGATTGCCTTTATTCAACTCCCAGAACTTGTCCGACGGGTTCAGGTCGTAGGCCTTAACCGGCGCCCGCTTTGGTCTGGAGCCGCCGGTGCTCTGGTCTACCGGCTCGTCAATGCGGACCTGATTGAGCTTCAGATCTAACACATCGTGGGCTAAGGCCTGGTAGGTCCAGGTGTGGTGCAACGGTGTGGCCATATCCATGTTACGGTCCAATATCACGAGCAGCGGGCGCTGGAAACTCAACGCCATTCCCCCACTAAACATGTCGCCCCCGTTGAACAGACTATTGCGGGCGTCCCTCAGGTTCTCCCGGATCTTCTTATCCAACTTCTCGGCCACCATTTCGGCCGCATTTCCTTTGGGCGACCGTATAATGGGAACGACACCCAACGTGACGAACACCGAGAACAGGCTGTCGACGATGTGGTCAATCACTACCTCCATGTCCGTGTCCTTCACGTCGGACCTGTTGATGGCGTAATAGCTCACGAGGTCTTTGTCCTGTTGTTTCAGTACAAACATGTCGTCCTCGAGTGATATGAAGTTGAGGTACTGGTCGTAGACTTTGGTGACGCTGTGGGCGCAGTTCGCTTGGAGTGCGGCCGACGCCAAGTCCTCCAACTTCTGGCGACTGATGGGACTAATGAAGTTCAAGTAGTAGTGGTCGTAGAGTTGGTTCCGGAAGTCCTGACAGATCCTCATTATGTTCTCGTCGGTTGGCAACAGGAAGTAGACGGCCGGCACGTCCGGTATGGGATCCCTGTCGCTGTGGAGTTGCCTAACACGTGGAACAGTTAGTGACTCACTGAGAGAGACAATCGGTGGTAACGGGTGTGACATACATGTGAAGAGTAATCCCGGATTCGCGCAACTCTTTCACCGAAAACAGCGGCGAAACGATGTCTTGTCCGCACCGGTCGTATACAAACACTTTCCACACGGGCTCTGATGAACCGGACGTCATATTCATCGATGAATTCAGATTCAGAATCGCTTTCATGGCGTCTGCGGAGGAATATTCAACAAGCGGTCGATTAGTGCACCAAAATTAAGACAATAATAAAAACATCACCAAAATTAGGGTCAAAATCAAAATCACTTACTCTTCTGACGCTCGCGAACCGTAAAACTCGTGGACATCTTGCGGTCGATTCACTGATATGTCACCAAACGGTTGATCCAAAGAGTGGTTAATGAAAACTAATAACTAGTTTGCGATTTAATTGCAACTGAAATGCAATTTGCAATCAATAATAACGTGGAAGTAATCAAAACACCAAACCGTGACTCACAATAACAAATACATTGCAATGCCTTTCGATGTCACAAATGACGTGCGCCCGCGAATGGCCCCCCACTCGGACCCCCCAATGGCTAACCTATGAGCGAGCGATAGCTTTAGGACTAATGGCTATTCAATGCGAAACGAATGGCGAAACCTATTTAGCGACTCATACGTGGCTCTCGTCGACGTCATTGAGTGTCAAATGAGTGCTAGAAATGCAAACATATCTGACATTTGATGCGTGAAAACGATGAACGCATTCATGAAAATCAAAACACAATTGAAAAGAAAAACTTTTATTTAATTAATTCATTCATTAAAACCCAAACCACGTGCTAATCGTGTGGACAACGGATGATACTATCAAATGGTTGATCGGCAGCCAATCACTCCGTAACTATTGATCGACTAATCTGCGACTATCACCCGTTGGGAGATCCCGTGCCACTCCCGCAGGACATCGACATCATGAGCGACAGTCACCCGAAGTCGTCGCAATCGGTGGCCATCGGGTGCGGCAGCAGTGGTGGGGACGGACCGTCGATGGGCGAAGTGAACCACATATCCATCCTATCGGACCACTTGAGCGCCCTATACCTCGCCGACACCTTCTCGGACATCACTCTACTGGTGGACGAGCAGCGACTGCCCGCCCATCGGGTGCTGTTGGCCGCCCGCAGCGACTACTTCCGGGCCCTCCTATACGGAGGTATGCGTGAGTCGCAGGAGAAGGAGATCCGGCTGAAGGTGTCCAGCGTTCAGGCGTTCAAATATCTCCTCAAATACCTCTACAGCGGACACATTCAGCTCAAGAGCTTCAAGGAGGAGATGATACTCGAGATCTTCGGTCTGTCCCACGAGTACGGCTTCCAAGAGCTCGAGCAGTCCATCTGCGAGTACCTGAAGGACACGCTCTCCATCCGCAACGTGTGTGTCATCTACGACACGGCCAACCTATTCCTCCTGAAGCCGTTGGCGGACGTGTGCCGCGCGTTCATCGATCGCCAGGCGCTGGATGTGATCCGTTCGGACGCCTTCTACTCGCTGTCGGCGCCCACTCTTAAAGAGATGATTAGTCGCGACTCGTTCTGCGCTCAAGAGATCGATATCTTCCGAGCGGTGAGTGAGTGGACGCAACGCAACACGACGTCCGCTGATGTGCTCAAAGACATCGTGTCGTGCATACGATTGTCACTCATTTCGGTGAACGACTTGCTGTCGATTGTCCGCAACTCGTGTTTAGTGGATCCCAACGACATCCTCGACGCCATTCAGGCCAAGAACGAGTCCAGGGATACGGATCTGCAATACCGGGGCTGCCTATTGCCGGAGCAGAACGTGGCCTGCAGTCGATTCAACTCACAGGTACTGAATGGGGAGAACAGGACCGCCCTCTTGGACGGCGAGAACCATAACTACGATATGGAGAAAGGCTTCACTCGACACCACATCGACGAGAGCTCCGGACAGGGAATACTGATTCAGTTGGGGATGCAGTGCATCGTAAACCACATCCGGATGTTGTTGTGGGACAAAGACATGAGAGCCTATTCTTATTACATCGAGATCTCGATGGACCTGAAGGACTGGGTGCGCGTCATCGACCACACGCTCTACCTGTGCCGCTCGTGGCAATACCTGTACTTTCCGGCCCGTGTGGCCAAGTATATACGACTCGTGGGCACCCATAACACACTGAACCGCGTGTTTCATGTCGTGGCCTTCGAGTGTATGTTCACTAATAAGAAGTTTGAAGTCGACAGAGGATTACTCGGTATTTGTCGCTATGTTTTCATTTTTTAATTATTGTTTTTTTGGCAAATACTGTCCTAATTGTAGACAATTTGACCATTAGTTATAAATTATGAAATCTCTCTCTCTCTCTCTCTCTCCCCTCAAACACCGGTGCATTTACTCTCGTAAAACACAGCATAAGAGTAGAAAATGTAAACAATTTTTGTATATTTTTAAGCCGAAAATCTTCAAACATTTTAAGTGGTGTTTGAAGTGATGGCGAGTGGAGTCTCTCTTATACAGAATGTGTTGTTTATTAAAAGTTTTTGGTCTCTGATTAGTATCAGTGGAGAGGGAGAGGGCATAAAGAAATCAAACACTACTTTCGCCACTCATTTTCGTTAAACATTTTACAACACAATAGAGAGAGAAATCGGTTTAGAGAGAGAGAGAGAGAGAGAGAGAGCGGACGGACTGTTTTCAATGGAATTCTTTAAACTTTTTTCTCTCCTTAGAAATTCTTGTGAAGAGATTCTTATCTATATTTTTAGCACTCAATACAAACACACAGTATTTCTTTTGCCATATATTAATGGGTTTTAGCCATAAAATGACTGTCATTTGTATTCTAATTTGTTGTCTCTCTCTGGTATGACCCATAACCTCCAGTTCCCAGTTATAACGTGGCCTCCATTCGCAACAGCGCTCTCGTCATTGAAGGGGTCAGTCGTACCAGAAATGCGTTAATCAACGGTTTGTTTGCATTTGTATCTCAAAATTATGCACAAAATTTTAAGTGACCTAAAAGTTTAGCACTAATTCAATACACAGTAGTTTTCATGCAATACATGTAGGAGTTTATAGGCATGACTAGCACTGCTATCTAAACTAACAAACATATGATTGATTACTTTGGGAACCGATAGGCGACTCGAAGAACTACGACTGGGATACGGGCTACACGTGCCACCAGTTGGGCAGCGGCGCGATTGTCGTGCAACTGTCGCAACCATTTATGATCGACTCGATGCGTCTACTGCTGTGGGACACCGACAAGAGGGCGTATAGCTATTACGTGGAGGCGTCGGTGGACCAGCAGAACTGGGCGATGGTGGCCGACAAGCGTAAGGAGCGGTGCCGGTCGTGGCAGGTGCTCCGGTTCGCCCGGCGCCCCATTGTCTTCATACGCATTGTGGGCACCTATAACTCGGCCAATGAGGTGTTCCATTGCGTGCACTTCGAGTGCCCCGCACAGGGAGCCGATGACAACGAGTCGGACGATGATGACGATGGAGAGGACAGGGAGGACACGCCTATTAGTGCCGATAGTGTCGAGGCCATGGAGGCAGTCAATGATAAGGAGATACTTGTTGTGGATCTTAAGGATAAGAGTGAAGATTATGGCGATAATGATGACAACAATTGAATCCAGATTTTTATTTATAGTTTTTCTATTTGTTTTGTAATTTAATTGTGATTTTAGTTTTAATCGTTTGTTTTGAACATTAATTTATTCCGAAGATTATTGTCTTTAAACACAAATATTAGCCATAGTTTCCCATTGCGTAGGGAACGGTAGCCTTAATCAAGTCTTATGAAAACGCATGCTTACCCCGATCACTTATGAAGTGAATTACTCACATGACAATATATTTTTGCGTGAATTATGTTTATTTGTGGCCTAATTATGCGTACGATTTGTTTAAATCGGTTTTTAAACACTACTGTAGTATTAAGAGTATTGAGAAATTATTTTCAGATTTCTATTAAGAATGTAAAAAATTATATATATTTTGAAATCAAACTCAGATTTTAATATTTAATTATTAAATGATATTGATTGAGAAATAAACTAATAAATGTTTTAAATTGTATTGTATAAAAAACATACTGTAAACGCATATTATAATTTCAGTTGAAAATTAAACACAATTTTATTAAATCATTAAACTATTAACTCATAAATCGCTGCAACCCTACATCGCACCGGTATGTCCGCCCACTAGACTACTACCGGGACTTCTTGACGACGTGCGCGCAATCATAGGCCCCTCTGATGACCCTCAGCTTGAGTCCGGGCACATCCCGGACCCGGCGCTTCTCGCATAGCACGACGCTGTGCTCCTGGAGGTTGTGGCCCTCCCCGGGCACGAACGCCACCTTCTCTTTGCCGCTCGTGAGCCTCACTAACACACACTTCCTGTTGGCGCTGTTGGGCTTCTTGGGCTTCTTGATGAGCGTCTTGAGGACAATGCCCTTCATCTGCGGTTTGTTATCCAACGGGTGTTTCCTAGGCTTACGCCCGTAACCGCCGCATATGTGAAACCTGTGGAGCAGCCGGTGCTCCTCCCACTCCTGGTCAGTGGCCAACGGCTGCACCGGTCGCTCCCACCACTTGTCCCCCGTGGGCGCCCATTGGTCACCACTGGGCGTACTGGCGCTGTGCCTACTGCTGGCCCGACAGCCGGTGCTGGTTGTGGTGGTCAGCGATAGCCGACTCATGAGGTCCGGTAGTAATTGGTCTGAAAATTATCATTACTTTTATTGTGATGTTCAGTGAATGTAGTTTTGGTTTAGTTTTACATACTTTTGCTGATTATATGACTGTTTGTGGAAAAGTGATTGCAATTAACGCTATGTTTAATGAATTGCGGTTTTAATGACTGGTTTATCACACGTGATATCAATGAAAACATTGTGGTTTATGCGATGAAAAACTTTCAAAAATATAGTTTAATGTCTTAAACACCACTTATCGTCGGTTATAACAGCAATGAAAACTTAATTGCAATTAAATATAGCATTCATTCACACAAACCAACAGTCAATACATAGAAATGTTGTCCAAAGTTAGCGATCGTATTGTCGGACACCAGATGTCACTCAATGCATGTAAACATTGAATTGCTGTGAGTTTTGGCGAAAAAC